TAGATAGATAGATAGATAGATAGATAGATAGATAGATAGATAGATAGATAGATAGATAGATACCATTAGCTGCTGGTCGTTGTGGTCTTGCAGATTCTGTTTGTGTTTTATTGCTGGATTGAAGCAAAGGTTCTCTCTGTAAGTGATGGAAACCAAAATAATACTTAAAGAACAAATTCACTACTAAAACAAGAGAAAGACCATTTTAAGTGAATAAACTTCTGCTGCACCGAATATAACACATCACACATGTGACTAAACAGGAATAAGCACTAAATCATCCAGACAGAATTCCACATACTTCTCGTTCGCTTAATGTTTACTTTTCTTTGACCTGCTTTCCAGTGAGAGAAAGGCTTGTTCTGAACTACTGAGACGTGAAAACTGACTGAAAACAACTGACCTACTAAATTACTTCATATGCTGAATTGTCTGTGTTTTCCAAGCCTAAAAGCAGTGGAAAGGAAGAACGCCGATGCTTTTGTCTGCTATAGATCCACCTGATAATCTGTCCTACTTATGATTCCTGCTGAGTCCTACTTACTTATGAGATTTCATAGCTAAACAAATTCATATTTTAATTGTAATCCACCTGTAAAATCAAATAACCATAAAATAGCCTCCTACCTCAACCTCTCCATCGGGAGAGGAGAAACAACATCCCATCTTTCAGCACGCAGGAGTTTTCATTCCCATAAAACACTTGAAATGAAAGTTGGGTGTCGATGACGTCACAGTCATGTGATCCACGTCACGGACAGGTGCGTATGTAAAGTGTTTCACCTGCTGAAAAAAACTGTTTATATGACAGAAACAACGCGTGTAAATGCACATCCGGTCTGTTTTTATTTATATGAGCTTTATGCTATTTGTGTGCTATTATTTATGTGTTTTGTCAATAAAGCACAAAAATAATCCATCCTAGCAAAAGATACGAATCTTTCAAACTCGTTTAACCAACGAAAAATGCATTGCATGGTATGTGATACTTTCATTTTAAGTTTAAGCATCAGTTTAAGTAAAAAATAAATAAAAATACAGACAAATAAAAAAGTGCGATTTTAAAAAAAGTGCAAAATTAAATGCAAAAATAACGCCGTTAGGCTATATTTATATTCAATTTAAAATGAATGCAGTAATGATAATATTCTTCCCAATGATAGCCCATATTTCTTTGGCGCTGAGAAAATAGCAATTCTGAATAGTGACCTCTAGGTGGAGCCATTGACTCACTTTTAATGCGCTCTGCTTTTTTATTAAATTTTATTTTTAATATTATTAGGCTTTTGCATCATTAAAAATGCTAATTTTAGATGAAAATTTCAGATGGCACTTAGAGGCTTTTGCATCTGAACTCTTCATATATATATATATATATATATATATAGCCTATATGATAATAATCATGAAAATAAAAATCATTCTATATCAGAAAGTGAAGTTTGCACAAATGAACAATCAACTGAAGATTTGAGTGCTAACAACACCTTAGGTAACCATTTCAGGAAGCTCATGTGGTTATGATGTCTAAGTAGGCATCTAGTTTGGATTTGAGACTCATGGTCAAAGATGCTGCGTAGGCTATTAAGCAGCTCAATTGGTGTCTATGTTGCTAAAAATGCGCGGCAACTATTGTGACACAGCCACTGGTTTGTCTTTGACTTTAAGTGCCAAGTGCTTGAAAACACAAAAGCAGGCTGCTAAACAAAGCTTAACCAGCTGTTGGTAATTTGCCCTCTTTATGTGCCGCTACCTGCTGTGCGCCGGTACCGTATCATTTCGCTGTCATCCGCGCGCCGTTTGCTGAGCGCATAAGTGAAGGTTTGCGGAATAAAGCAGCATTGATGGGGGACGTCTCCGGATGCAGGTGTTTGTGCTGACAAATGAGAAAAAAGCGCTTCACTAGCTACTAATTGAGCAGAAAACATGGGGGGAAAAGAACGAGACGTGCACTAGTGGGCTATCTGTGGGCGAAGAGACGCCAGTGCAATCACACGTCAAATAGCCTACAACAATAGCACTCAGGATTAGATGAGGCTTATCTTCCAATGACTTAGCCTAATTCATTTACAGCAGAAAACATGCTTCTGCACACTCCTATTATAGTGACTAGAAAATGCGTTTAAACATTGCACTATGTACACAGCTATTATTTTACATAGGCCTATATATTTAAATATGCACTCTAAAAAATGCTGGGTTAAATACAACCCAGTGCTGGGTAAAATAGGGACAAACCCAGCAATTGGGTTGTTTTGACCCTTGGTTAAAAAACAGTGGTTGAGTTATAAAAAAGTGGTTGGGTTACTACCCAGAAGGTTGGGTTAAACATTTAACCCAACCGCTGGGTCAAAACAACCCAATTGCTGGGTTTGTCCCTATTTTACCCAGCACTGGGTTGTATTTAACCCAGCATTTTTTAGAGTGTGATATTGCAATAGCCTATCCACTTTTTTCAACGCGAAATAGCTATTTTTTGTACATTTGCGAGACTTCTGGTTCATTCGTTGCTATAAATTATTATAAACTATTCAATAGAGATTTGCAAAAATGAGATTGGTATACTGTAGCTTTTTATTTTTATTTTTTTGGTTATGTGTAATTTATTGTATGTTATGTACTGTGCTATGTGAGTTTAATGTTGTGCACTGACCATGTCATGGTTGTCCAAGATGAATTTCCCAGAAATGGGACAATAAAGTATATTCTATTCTATTCTATTCTATTCTATTTTATTCTATTCTATTCTATTCTATTCTATTCCATTCTATCCTATTCTATTCTATTCTATAACAAAAGTGCAGTAAGCGGTAAAACTGTTTACGCTGCAAACCAGTGTGTTTAGGATTACGATGATACATTAATAGAAAAGTTTAGAGAAAAACAGTGTAAAAAAATGTAAATATTAACTAATAACATTCAAATCTAAACTAACTAAATAATTAAATTCAAATGCATAGATAAACAATAAAACGTCATGCATTTTGGGGAGACACAACAAGTCAATATGGAAAGAACTTATAGATCAATATTCCTATCAAATATGAAATATTCTTATGAAGTTATTACTCCAATTATAACACTTCTTTTGTCATGATGGTTTGCCCCAAGAACACATGGACATTTTATGCACAAAGGCTATTCGATAAAGTACAGTAGTATATTAGATAATTCTGTTATATCATTCATAGTTGAGAATCATCTTTGTTTAAAGTTCAGCCTGAAACCTAAAAACTGATTGGTGAGTTGGTGTTTTGCCTATACATGCCTTTTCATGCGTATTTATTTTTATTTTTTTTTAAATAACTTAGTCCTGACGTCCTGTGAAGGACATATAGAAAAAAATATGAATAAAATATCAAAAATGTTTTTTCTCCATTTGTTTCGTATGCTCCAACTAATGACATAAAAAAACAACAAAATTCACAAAACCTTTTTTTTCTGGTTCTCAGAAGGATAGTATGGGGGGGGAAACATGCCATGAAAGTCGATGGGGACCATCAAGTGTTCGTTTACCAACATTCTTCAAAATATCTTCATTTGTGTTCAACAAGAAAGAAATTCATACAGGTTTTGAGCAACATGACAGTGAGTAATATGACTTTTTTTTTTTTTTTTGGGTGAACTATCCCTTTAAACAATGTTTGGGCATCATAACCCTGATAGCACTCGTACATCACAGAGACATCTATTTGACGTCTGCATTACATCTGCAAGACTTATTTTTTAGTGTTTAACATCTGCAATACATCTATAGGACGTTTCCTATCAGATGTCAAATAGATGTTTAGAAGATGTCATTAAAGGGGTCATATGATGTTGCTAACAAGAACATTATATTGTGTATTTGGTGTAATGAAATGTGTTCATGCGGTTTAAGGTTCAAAAAACACATTATTTTCCACATACTGTACATTATTGTTTCTCCTCTATGCCCTGCCTTTCTGAAACGCGTCGATTTTTACAAAGCTCATCGTTCTGAAAAGCAAGGTGTGCTGTGATTGGCCGAATACCTCAAGCGCAGGTATTGTTACGCCCCTCACCATACTGTGATGCCGTGTCCCGGCCGGAGCGATTGTAACACTCCAAAGAGAAAGGAACAATTGAAATCGCATCATATGACCCCTTTAAGATGTTTATGATTTAGAATGCATGTAAAACTGACATCTTAAAGACGTCTATCAGATGTTTGTACACAGCAGATGCTTTCTAGATGAAGCGATCTTTATCAGACATCTTGTAGACATACATCTGCTATCTGGGAACCTAGAGAGCTATACTATTATACTAAGCAGTGTGTGGATGCAGTAGGCAATACCATTTTGTCAAACTCGATTTCTGGCTCTATGGAGTGGTGTTATAGTTGTTACGACTAATATCTTCAACAGACCTTTTAAGGTGCGTTTATAAATGCAATATGCACTTTATAGGTGTATGTAACGTTATTCATTGACTGTGCACGCACAGAGTGAATGATTTTTCCCGCGAAACTTCAAAGCGCCGCATTCTGGACTGTTCCATTGCGATCGCAGGTAGCGTCAACTCTCACATTAAAGTTGAGAACGGAGACTTTTTCCTTATATACTCTAAAACCTGTTTATACGTATAATATACGATATGTATTATGCCAATAATAACGAATTCAAAGTGAGATAATGACATGTTTTGTGCGCACACAAGCACCCCTCCGTTTCCACACAGTCTCCCGTCCGCTCGTGTTGTTTTTTAAACCTTTCATTCATTAAAGAGTCCCACACACTGATAAGCACGAGACACCACTTTAATTATTAAAATGATCAAAACCCGCAGAGCGTCTTTGAAGGTAAGAAATGTGATCTTATAGACAAACAGCGATGGAAACGAGAGCTGGTTCACTGCATGCACACACACACAGTTACATTAGTAGCAATGATCATCGTTTTAAAACACTTGCATGAATGCATATTTAATGAGACAGAACCTGATCATCAGCAAATGTAGTAAAAATTGAGATTAAGCTGAAGTTAGGGTTTAATTGTCTGTTGTTTATGCATGTTTTCTAGATATTAAAAACTTTGTTTTGAAGTTATGAATATGTTTTGATGTCTGCATAGTTGTAGTTTTTAACTTATAGTTATTATCATTATTATTTTATTATTGTTGTAGGGCATTATAATATTAACAAAAATAATTATCATAGTAATCATGTTCTTATGCATTGTATATTATTATTATTATTAATTAATAATACTTTTATATATATATATATATATATAACTCTACTTTCAGGCAAAACAGCTGGACGTAACAGATCTGTCAGAGGACAGCAGAGACCGCATCCAAATAAAGGGATCCTGGAAGCCTGTTGGTATCATCTACAGTGTCAGAAATTAATGCATATTATTAATTATTAATAATATTTGGAACTGATCTGCAGGAGAATATTTTCTTTAATGTGTGCTTTTTTGTTTCTAAAGGTATAAAAACACACATTGAGCTGTTGTATACCAGAATCTCCAACAGAATCAGTGTATTGAAATGAATTATTAATGTGAACAATTATGGCACATATCATGATACAAAAGTAGCTGTGAAATGATGCAACATATATATTATGGTTTTTGTTACTATTTTAAATTACATTTTAATATATATGTATATATATTTAGTTTTCACTTAAATATTAATGTTTTTTTTTAACTAAACTTAAACTAAAACCACAAAAAATTGTTACTTGAAATGAAATTAATGTTACTTGAATAAAACAATAATTTTCTTTATAATTTATTTTATAATTTTTTATTTCTATATAGTATTTGTTTATTTAATAGTTTTAAACTTTAAAAAAGTTGGAAAAAAGTAAAAAAATAAAAA